GGACAGGCTGGTCTCAAACTCCTGACCTCGTGATCTGCCCACTTCAGGCCTCCCAAAGTGCTGGGATTACAGGCGTGAGCCACCGTATCTGGCTGGCAATGGTTTGACTCAGTGGACTTTTCTGGTACTCCTGAGGAAAGAATATGGAGAGACAGAAGCCAGTAAGGTCATTGCTGCTGGCCAAAAGCTGCATCCGAGCTGAGGGAATCCTGTGAGAGCACGTGCAGTCAAAGCAGACACAGATGCAGGAGTGGCGTGGAATCTGTTTCCCTCAGAGGGACCTCAGGGAGCCACAGCTACTGACAGGGCCCGAGTAGGAGTGACGAGGGACTCACCAAGGGAAGGACTGACTGGCACCTGGCTCGCTTAGAGGTCACAGGAAGCTTTTAACTGTCACACTTCCTCTTTCTGCACAGAGCCCTGAGCACTCGCAAAGATGAAGGTAAGAATGCAAGGCACATTATTAGAAGCAGTAGGAAACCATGTGAGATTTTTTTTCTGCTGTCAGAATTTGATTCCTAATTTCACATAGCATTGAGACCAGTCATGATAAACTATATTCCAGAACAAGAGTTTTTGGGTTGTTTTCTGGTTGTTTTTTTGGGGGGACAGAGTCTTGCTCTGTCGCCCAGGCTGGAGTGCAGTGGCACCATTTTGGCTCACTGAAACCTCCACCTCCCAGGTTCAAGCAATTCTCATGCCTCAGCCTCCTGAGTAGCTGGAATTACAGGCGTGTGCCACCATACACAGCTAATTTTTGTATTTTTAGTAGAGACAGGTTTTCACTATGTTGGCCAGGCTGCTCTCAAAGTCCTAACCTTGTTATCTGCCCGCCTCAGCCTCCCAGCACTCCCAAAGTGCTGGGATTATAGGCATGAGCCACTGCACCCGGCCCAGAACAAGAGTTTTTAATAGTTCTTGGTTGCTTCAAGTTTGCCATATCCAATGTAGCAAAAATGACACTCAGAACACCTTGGAATTCATCTTATAACCAATAGCCTTATCAAAGGGAACTGACCCGTTATTTAAATTGTTTTTCTCTGGACTTTGGAGGTGAAAGACTTCCCGGGCAAGATTAATTCCTAGGCCCTGGGCAAGCTCTTGCTGCTCTTTCATCCTGGGAAATTCCGGAGCTTGTCCTCTAGAGACAGGTGAAATACACTGCCACATTTGGTAAATGTTTGGTTTGTGCTATGAGAGCAGTATGCATGATAATGTTTAATCCTAAAGACTGGAAATCTGATCTGGCCTTTTTAATATAATCTCAGAAGGCATCACCTTAGTATCTTGATGTGTGTTAGTGGAGAACACTGCTGGCAATGGAAATACATTAACCATAAGAGAGTTGGCATTTAAAGTAATCATGGGTGATAAGTAAAATGTGAAAACTCAAAGATTAGGTTTATGCAGAAATTGATTACTTTAAAAGTCCCATAATATATATTCAGAATTTAAACTGCCATATAATATTCTCTCTGAAAATAACTCTGAAGAACTCGAAATAGTTTTCATTTAAATGACAAAATATAAAGCAAGTTAGGAGACTCAACTGAGTCGTGACTAACTTCCAAGATGAAGTTCATACCAGTTGTCAACAGTAAAGTGTCACGTTGGTTTCAGCTCCAAAGGCAGTGCTTTTCTTTGTTATAATAATTTCATGGGGCAGAGGTGACAATGGGGAAATACTTCCTGCATAAGCAGACATTCTCAACCTAGACAGTGGGAGACCTGCACTGGGCAGCGTGACTCTGCAGGGTGCACGCGCAGGGAGAGTGGCCTGCGTGGTGGGCGGTGGAGCAATCAACGGGCTCTAGTTTTGTAATCCTCCTCTGACTGCACTTGGCTTACTGTGACAGGCCTCAGTTTTGTCAGGTGTCTTCCCACTCTCCACATAACAATGGTGAATTTCTGCCATTCCAAACCTCAGACTGGGTTCAGTTACTCTTGTTTTTTTTTTCACATTTTTGGATTGGATTTCAGACATTTTCCTAGATTAATTTGTATAGAGAATTTACAAGCAGTAACAAAAAAGTAAGCACAAATTGTTGTATCACCTAAGGATACTCTGAAATTGCATCAGATTACTGAGAAGACACTAGATGGGCTCAAAAATAATCATTTCTGCTCTAAGGTCTACAAGAGAAGTGCACTCTAGACTGTGTCTAGACAGCAAAGACCGAGCTGGCTCTGGCTGCAGCCCTGGCAGGTCAGTGTCCCCAGGGAATGTGTAGAGGGCAGAGGCCGCAGATGTCTGTGGAGAAGAGCCACCCATGGTGAGACACTGCAGTCCTGATCTTCCCTCAGGCAACTGCTAAGAACTGACCTAAGTAGGGCTGGTCACATGGGATTCCGAGAATTTTGCTGTTATTTTGTTTTTAATGGATATAGCAGGAATCATAGAAAAGTTCGTGAGGATTAGCTACTCCCTGACAACTCTATTATGAAAGTTGCAGGTCAAAATCTGCCTTCCCTACAGACATGCATTTAACAAACATTCATTAGCTAGTACATTGGCAGAAAGCAGGACAACATCACTGTTCTCCTGTGTTCCTGATGAATTGCAGCTCTTCTTCCTTTCAGTCTCTGAATGAGCCATCCATCTGAGGTAGATAGGACAGTATTTCAGCCAAGACATTATTCCCACCTAAACTAATAATTCCATGGGGTAGCTTAATGGTGGTTTCCTATTTCTAGTTATTAGATCACCTTCTATAAAGTAGACGCCATTAACTAAATCTGTTCACTTACACACAAACATGGGTCCTAATGAAAAGGCAGGATACATGTTCAGCTCTTTCCTTCTCTACCCAATTTTAAATATAAGGAATTGATGTGATTCATCACATAAACAAAATGAAGAACAAAAACTATCTGATCATCTCAATAGATGAAGAAAACGCATTTGATAAAATCCAGTATCCCTTCATGATAAAAACCCTCAACAAACTAGACATCAAAGAAACATATCTCAGAATAAAAGCCATATATAACAGACCCACAGCCAACATCATAGTGAATGAGGAAGAGTTGAAAGCATTTCCCCTAAAAACTGTAAACTTCAACTAAACTTTAAAGACAAAGATACCCACTCTCCCCACTCCTATTCAACACAGTACTGCAGGTCCTAATAAGAGCAGTCAGGAAAGAGAAAGAAAGAAACGACACCCAAATTGGAAAAAAGGAAGTCAGATTACCTCTGTTCACTGATGACATGATCTTATACCTAGTAATCTTTAAAGACTCCTCCAAAAGATGCCTAGATTTGATAAATGACTTCAGTAAAGTTGCAAAATACAAAATCAACATGCAAAAATCAGTAGCATTTTTATACACCAATAATATTCAAGCTGAGAACAAAATCAAGAATGCAATCCCATTTACAATAGCCACATGCATACACAAAATGCCTAGGAATACACTGAATCAAGGAGGTAAAAGATCTCTATAAGCAGAACTACAAAACACTGATGAAAGAAATTATAAATAAAACAAATGGATAAACATGCCATGCTCATAAATGGAACATAAATATTGTTAAAATAATCATACTGCCCAAAGCAAGATACAGATTCAATGCAACTCCTATCAAATTACCAATGTCATTTTTCACAGAATTAGAAAAAAAAAAAAAACAACTCAGAATTCATATAAAATCAAAAAAGAGTCTGAATAGCCAAAGCAATCTTTTTTTTTTTTGAGATGGAGTTTCGCTCTTGTTACCCAGGCTGAAGTACAATGGCACGATCTCAGCTCACCACAACCTCTGCCTCCTGGGTTCAGGCAATTCTCCTGCCTCAGCCTCCTGAGTAGCTGGGATTACAGGCACGCGCCACCATGTCCAGCTAATTTTTTGTATTTTTAGTAGAGACAGGGTTTCACCTTGTTGACCAGGATGGTCTCGATCTCTTGACCTCGTGATCCACCGCCTCGGCCTCCCAAAGTGCTGGGACTACAGGTGTGAGCCACCGCGCCCGGCCCCCAAAGCAATCTTAAGCAAAGCTAGAGGCATCACATTACCTGACTTTATACTACAAGGCTATAGTAACCAAAGCAGCATGGTACTGGTAGAAAAACAGACACACAAATCAGTGGAACAAAATAGAGTACCTAGAAATATCACACCTACAGCCGGCTGATCTTCAACAAAGTCAACAAAAATATACACTGGGGAAAGGACACTCTATTTAACAAATGGTGCTGGAAAACTTGTAGAGCCATACATACGCAGAAGAATGAAACTGGACCCAAAGCTCTCACCATATACAAAACTTAAGATGAATTAAAGATTTAAATGTAAGACCAGAAACTATAAAAAAATTTTAGACGAAAACCTAGGAAAAACTCTTCTGGACATTGGCCTAGGCAAAGAAGTTATGAGTAAGACTTCAAAAGCAAATACAACAAACCAAAACTAGACATATGGGACTTAATTAATGTAAGGAGCTTCTATACAGCAAAAGAAATAGGCAACAGAGTAAACAGATAATGGGAAAAGGACATGAACAGACATTTTTCAAAAGAAGATACACAAGTGGCCAAGAAACATGAAAAAAATGCTCAACATCACTGGTCATCAGATAAATGCAAAGTAAAAGCACAATGAGATACCATCTCACACCAGTCAGAATAGCTATTATTAAAAAGTCAAAAAGCAACAGATGTTGGCAAGAATGCAGAGAAAAAGAGGACACTTACACACTGTTGGTGAGAATGGAAATTAGCACAGTGTCTATAAAAACAGGATAGAGAATGCTCAAAGCACTAAAATTAGAGCAACCATTCAATCCAGCAATCCCACTACTGCATATCTACCCAAGGGAAAACAAATCATCAAAAAGACACCAGCTATGTTTGTATGTGATATGTTTATCACAGTACTATTCACAATAGCAAAGTCACCTAAGTGTCCATCAGCAGATTACTGGATTCAGAAAATGTAGTATATGTGTACCATGGAATACTGTACAGTCATAAAAAGAATGAAATTATGTCGTTTGTGGCAACATGGAGCTGGAGGCCATTATCATGACTAAAATAACTTCAAAATAGAAAACCAAATACCACATATTCTCACTTCTATGTGGGAGCTAAATGAACATACTGACACTAGGAACTCCATTTCTAAAATCTATGGCTTTCTCTGCCACCTTGTGAAGAAGATGCCTGCTTCTCCTTTGCCTTCCACCATGACTGTAAGTTTCCCAAGGCCTCTGCAGCTATGCAGAACTGAGTCAATTAAACCTCTTTCCTTTATAAATTACCCAATCTCAAGTAGTATATTCATAGCAGTGTGAAAACAGCCCAGACTTGACTTCTACTACCCAAAATGTCTATGTCACAAAACTGCACTTCTACATCCTGAATCTATAAAAATAAAAATTAAAAGTTAAAAAGTAAGGGATTGGTGCAATAGCTATTTCAGTTGTAACAAATTATTTTGAATGCTTTCTGTCTGGAACATGATAACAGACACATGAATTTTCATAGATTTAATGGGTTTCTATCAACTATGATATTATTCTCATTGGCTCAAAGGTCCTACCTTTGGCCACTGGGAACCCCTTAATGGTGTCCTTTTGATACAATAGCATCAATCTGAAAGCTTTCATGTTTTCTGGCACAAGATTCTCCTGCTCACCCTATCCCTTCCTTGTCCCCAACATGGAAGGAAGAGACATTTCTCCAAGGAGCTCTGGCTGTGTTTATGAGGAGTGGTGTTTGTAGCCAAAAAATGGACTCTTGGCACACTTATGCTGCTATTGGGACATTGCTTTTTGCCCATTTCAGTGGTCAGTGCAAGAAAAGTGTCTTTTTTAAAATCACAAATTCATACTGATATATACATTTCTAGTATTTCTACCTAATTTACTTGATTTTATAATTGATTCTCTTTTCTCTTATAATGAGCAGCATTATTTCTAATCACACAAATGTTGTCTACTTACTTGCTTTATCTAACAATTTATAGAAAAGTAGTTTTACAATAACAATCCCATTATTAACACAAACAGTGATACTACTGAATACAATTTCAAATTTTTCTTTGCAGTTTTGTCTTTAGAATGCAGGTCCTAAGCATGTGTGTTCCAAGTAATAATTCTAAATTCACTTGAAATTACCTTTTACTATGTGTATGTAAGCACCTATCCAATGTAGACGTTAATGCAATTGTTTGTTTTTATTTTCAGTGTAAAGTTTCTGCATTCTAGCAGCTGCTAGTTCTTAGAAGGTGGTGCTTCTGGCTAGTCCTCTTAGCTATAGGAGGTGGAAGGTTGGTCTACAACCAACTTTAAGACAATCTACCATGAACTTTGAGACAATCTACCATGAACTTCAAGATGATCTACATGAACTACGAGAAGATCTACACAAACTTTGAGATGATCTACACGAACCTCGAGACAATGTACATGAACCTTGAGATGATCTACACAAACTTCGAGGCGATCTACACGAACTCCAAGATGATCTACACGAACTTCAAATCAATCTACCAAGAACTTTGAGACAATCTATGTGAACTTCAAGACAATCTACCACAAACTGCTAGACAGTCTACCATGAACTACAAGACACTCAACACAAACTTCAAGACAATTTACACGAACTTTGAGACAATCTACATGAACGTCAAGATAATCTACCATGAACTTCAAGACAATCTACATGAACTTGTAGACAGTCACATGAACTTTGAAACAAACTGCATGAACTTTGAGACAATCTACATGCACTTCTAGACAATCTAACATGAACTTCGAGACAATCTACCACAAACTGCTAGACAATCTACCATGAACCACAAGACAATCTAACACAAACTTCAAGACAATCTACATGAACTATTAGACAATCTACATGAATTCTGAGACAATCTACATTAACTTTGAGAAAAACGGCATGAACTTTGAGGCAATCTACTATGAACCTGGAAACAATTTACCACGAATTTCAAGACAATCTACACAAACTTATGACAATGTACCATGAGCCTCAAGACAATCTACCACAAACTTCGAGGCAATCTAAAGGAACATCAAGACAATCTATATGAACTTCAAAAAAATCTACATGAGCTTTGAGACAATCTACTCGAACTTTAAGACAATCTATATGAGCTTCAAGACAATCTACACAAGCTTCAAGAGAATCAACATGAGCTTTGAGACAATTTTCATGACCTTTGAGACAATCTACATGAGCTTCAAGACAACCTATATGAGATTCGAGACAATCTACCATGAGCTTTGAGACAATCTACATGAGCTTCAAGACAACCTATATGAGATTCGAGACAATCTGCACGAGCTTTGAGACAATCAACCACAGGCTTTGAGACAATCTATGTGAGCTTCAAGACAATCTATGTGAGCTTCGAGACAATCTACATGAGGTTTGAGACAATCTATATGAGCTTCGAGACAATCTACACAAACTTTGAGACAATCTACATAAACTTTGAGACAATCTACATGAACTTTGAGAAAAACTACACAAACTTTGAGACAATCTACCATGAACTTTGAAGCAATTTACCACAAACTTCGAGACAATCTACACAAACTTTGAGACAATCTACACTAACTTTGTGAAATGTACCATGAACTTTGAGACAATCTACCACGAACTTTGAGGCAATCTAAAGGAACACCGAGACAGTCTATACTAACTTTGAAATCTACACGAACTTCAAAAAAATCTACACAAGCTTCAAGACAATCTACATGAGCTTCAAGACAATATACACAAGCTTAGAGAGAATCTACATGAGCTTCAAGACAATCTTCATGAGCTTTGAGACAATCTACATGAGAACGGAGACAATCTACCATGAGCTTTGAGACAATCTATGTGAGCTTCAAGACAATCTATCACGAGCTTTGAGACAATCTACATGAGCTTTGAGACAATCTACCACAAGCTTAGAGACAATTTACACGAGCTTTGAGACATCTATACGAACTTTGAGATAATCTGTATGAGCTTCAAGACAATCTACCATGAGCTTTGAGACAATCTACATGAGCTTTGAGACAATCTACACAAACTTCAGGACAATTTACACAAACTTTGAGACAATCTACCACAAAGTTAGAAACAATCTACCACAAAGTTCAAGACAATCTACACAAACTTTGAAACAATCTACACCAACTCCAAGACAATCTACAGGAACTTTGAGACAATCTACATGAACTTTAAGACAATCTACCCCTAACTTCGAGACAATCTACACGAACTTCGAGATAATCCAAATAGGCATCAGCCAATCTGCTAAGGGCCCCAGTAGAACAGAAAGGTAGAGAAAAGACATTTTTCTCTTTCTTCTGGAGCTTGGACATCCTTTTTCTTCTGTCCTCACACATCTGAACTCTAGGTTCTTGGGCTTTTGGACTCTAGAATTTACACCAGTGGCCCTGCAGGTTCTCAGGGCCTTTAGCCGTGGACTGAGTTACACCATCAACTCCCCTAGTTCTTACTTCCTTGGACTCAGATTGAGTTAAGCACTGGCTTCACTGATTCTCCAACTTATGGTACTTATTACTTCTGTAACTGCATAAACCAATTTCCATTAAAAATCGCATATATATATATACACACCTGTATGTGTATATATATCTATATCTATGCATCTTCTCTTGGTTCTGTCTCTCTGGAGAGCCCTAATACAGGTAACAATCTTAGATACAGGTGGGAGGTTGGTCTACCACCAACTCTGAGACAATCTAACACGAACTTTGAGATGATCTGCCACGAACTTCTGGATGATCTACACAAGCTTTGAGACAATCTACATGAACTTTGAGACAATCTACACTAACTTTGAGATGATCTGCAAGAACTTTGAGACAATCCACATGAACTTTGAGATGATCTACACAAACCCTGAGACAATCTACACAAATTTTGAGGCAATCTATACAAACTTTCAGACAATCTACAGAAACTTTGAGACAATCTACATCAACTTCAAGAAGATCTACACAAACTTTGAGATGATCTTCACAAACTTTGAGAAGATCTACACAAACTTTGAGATGATCAACATGAACCTTGAGATGATCTATATGAACTTCAAGATGATCTACATGAACTTCAAGACAATCAACACAAACCAAGAGATGATCTACACGAACCTCGAGATGATCTACACAAACCTTGAGCAATCTACATGAAACTTGAAACAATCTACATGAATTTGGAGATGATCTACATGAACTTCGAGACAACATTAACCTTGAGACGATCTACATGAACCTCAACAAAAACTAAACAAACCTCAAGACAATCTACACGTACTTTGACACAAACTACACAATCCTCAAGACGCTCTACGCAAACTTCGAGACGCTCTACACAAAATTCAAGATGATCTACACAAACTTTTAGATGATCTATACAAATTTTGAGATAATCTACAGGATAGTCGATACAATCTGCATGAGCTTTGAGACAATCTACCATGAACTTCAAGGCAATCTACACCAACTTTGAGAACTTTGAGACATGAACTTAGAGACAATCTCCACAAACTTTGAAATAATCTACCAGAACTTCAAGACAATCTACACGAACTTCAAGACAATCTACACAAACTTTGAAACACTCTACAGAAACTTTGAGACAATCTAAATGAATCTCAAGACAATCTACATGAACTTGGAGATGATCTACACAAATTTCGAGATAATCTACAGGATAGTCGATACAATCTGCATGAGCTTCGAGACAATCTACACCAACTTTGAGAACTTTGAGACACAAACTTGGAGAGACTCTCCACAAACTTTGAGATACTCTATAGGAACTTTGAGACAATCTACCTGAGCTTTAAGACAATCTACCATGAACTTTGAGACAATCTACACAACGTTCAAGAAAATCTATCAAAAACTTTGATACAATCTACCATGAGCTTTGATACAATTACCATGAGCTTTGACACATTCTACCATGAGTTTCGAGACAATCTATTATGGGCTTTGAGACTCCACCACAAACTTTGACACAATCTACCACGAGCTTCCAGACAATCTACCACAAACTTTGATATAATCTACACGAACTTCAAGACAGACTACATGACCTTTGAGACAATCTAAATGAATTTTGAGGCAAATTACACAAACTTTGAGACAAACTACACGAACTTTGAGACAATCTACCATGAACTTTGAAACAAATTACCATGAACTTCGAAACAAATCTACACAAACTTCGAGACAATCTACATGAACTTCAAGACAATCTACATGAAGTTTGAGACAGTATATCACAAACTTCAAGACAATCTACCATGAACTTCGAGACAATCTAAAGGAACTTCGAGACAATCTACACAAACTTTGAAAAAATCTACATGAGGTTTGAGATACATGAGCTTTAACACAATCTACACAAGCTTTGAGACAATCTACATGAGCTTTGAGACAATCTACATGAGCTTTGAGACAATCTACATGTGCTTTGAGACAATATACACAAGTGTTGAGACAATCTATACGAGCTTCAAGACAATCTAACACAAGCTTCGAGACATCTATGTGGTCTTCGAGACAATCTACTATATGGGCTTTGAGACAATTTACACAAGCTTTGAGACGATCTATGCAAGCTTCGAGACAATCTATGCTGGCTTCTAGACAATCAATGCTGGCTTCATGACAATCTATGCTAGCTTTGAGACAATCCACACTGGCTTAGAGGCAATGTGTATATGTGGGCTTCAAGACAATCTATCTAAACAGGCTTCAAGACAATCTACATAGGATTCGACACAATCTATGCAGGCTTTGAGACAATCTATTGTGGCTTTGAGTCAATCTACTCTGGCTTCAAGACTATCTAGACAGGCTTTGAGATAATCTGCGTGGGCTTCAAGACAATCTATGCGGGCTTCAATAAAATCTACATGGGCTCTGAGAAAATCTACATGGGCTTTGAGACAATCAATGCTGGCTTCAAGACAATCTACGCAAGCTTTGGGACAATCTATGCAAGATTCAAGACTATCTATGTGGGCTTCAAGAAAATCCCTCTAAAAAGGCTTTGAGACAATCTACCCGGGCTTTGAGACAATCTACAGGGGCTTCAAGACAATCTATGCAGGTTTTGAGACAATATATTTACATGGGCTTTGAGACAATCTACGCAGGCTTCAACACAATCTACGCGGGCTTCAAGACAATCTATGCAGGTTTTGAGACAATATATTTACATGGGCTTTGAGAAAATCAACATGAAATCCAAGACAATCTATGTGGGCCTGAGACAATCTATCTATGTGGGCTTTGAAACAATCTATGCAGACTTTGAGACAATCTATCTATGAAAGCTTCAAGACAATCAATGCAGGCTTCAAGACAATGTATGCCGGATTTGAGACAATCTATGCTGGCTTTAACAAAATCTATATATACGGGCTTCGAGACAGATTCTATCCACGTGAGCTTTGAGACAATCTATGTGGGCTTCAAGACAATCTACGGGGACTTCAAGACAATCTCTCTATGTGGGCTTTGAGAATTTCTATGCTGGCTTCAAGTCAATCTACGCTTTGAGACAATCTGTGCTGGCTTCGAGCCAATCTACGCTGGCTATGAGACAATGTATATACACAAGCTTCAAGGCAATCTATCTACATGGGTTTCAAGATAATCTACACAAGCTTTGAGACAATCTATGAAGGCTTTGAGACAATTTATCTACATGGGCTTTGAGACAATCTACGCCAAGTTTTGAGACAATCTACGCAGGCTTGAAGGTAATCTATGCCAGCTTCAAGGCAATCAGTGCTGGCTTCAGGGCAATCTACTCTACCTTCAAGACAATCTATGCTGGCTTATATAGAGAGTATATATACAGGCTTCAAAACAATCTATGCAGGCTTCCAGGCAGTCAGTGCTGGCTTCAGGACAATCCACACTGGCTTGAAGACAGTCTACACTAGCCTAGAGACAATGTATATCGGCGGGCTTTGAGACTATCTACATGAGCTTCAAGACAATCTGTCTATGCAGTGTTCGAGAAAATCTACCAGGGCTATGAGACATTCAACGTGGGATTTGAGACAATCTGTGCAGGCCTCAAGGAAATCAATGTGGGCAACGAGACGATATACTTGGGCTTTGAGATAACTATCTATGTGGGCTTTGAGACAATCTACGTAGGTGTCTAGACAATCTACATGGGATTTGAGACAACTTATATAGGTGGGCTTCAAGACAATCTACACTCTCTTGAGAATATCTACGCCAGCTTTGAGACAATCTATGCAGGCTTCAAGAAAATCTATGCGGTTTTTGAGATAATCTATCTAAGGAGGCATCAAGACAATCTACACAGGCTTTGAGACAGTATACGTGGGCTTCAAGACAATCTATCTATGTGGGCTTTGAGACAATCTACGAGGGCTTCAAGAAAATCTACATGAGCTTCAAGACAATAAACGCAGCCTTCAACACAATCTACGTTAGCTTTGAGACAATGTATCAATGCAGGCATCGAGACAATACACACTGGCTTTGAAAAAATCTATGTGGGTTTCAAGACAATCTATGCTGCCTTCAAGACAATCTACACAGCATTGAGATTGCTGGCTTCAAGACAATCTACACTGGCCTCGAGATGATCTATGCTGGCTTTGAGGTGATCTACACTGGCTTCGAGACAATCTACACTGGCTTCGAGGCAATACACGCTGGTTTTGAGTCAATCTATGCTGGCTTTGTGACAATCTACGCTAGCTTTGAGACAATCTACATTGGCTTCAAGACAATCTATACTGACTTTGAGACAGTCTATGCTGGCTTCAAGACAATCTATGCTGGCTTTCAGACAATATATATTTACTTTGAGACAATCTACAATGCCTTAAGATAATCTATACTGGCATCAAATCAGTCTACGCTGGCTTTGAGACGATCTATGCTGGATTCAAGACAATCAATGCTGGCTTCGTATCAATGTACGTTGACTTTGAGACAATCTACAATGGCTTTGAAGCAATCTATGCTGGCTTTGAGACAACATACGCAGGCTTCAAGACAATCTACACTGGCTTTGAGGCATTCCACGCTGGCTTTGAGATAAAAGACGATGGCTTCAAGACAATCTATGCTGGCTTCGAAAAAATCTATCCTGGCTTTGAGAAAATCTATGCTGGCTTCGAGACAATCTATGCTGGCTTCAGTACAATCAACTCTGGCTTTGAGGCAATCTACACTGGCTTTGAGAAAATCTACACTGGCTTTGAGACAATTAACACTGGTTTTCAGTTAATCTATGCTGGTTTCAAGACAATGTATGCTGGCTTCTAGTAAATATACACTGGCTTTGAGTCAATCTATACTGGCTTCAAGGCAATCTTTGCTGGCTTTGGGGCTGTCTACACTGGCTTCGAGTCAATCTACGCTGGCACTGAGACAATCTATGCTGGCTTGGAGTCAATCTAGGATGGCTTCAACACAATCTACACTGGGTTCAAGTAAATCTATGCTGGCTTTGAGACAATCAACACTGACTTCGAGTCAATCTATGCTGGGTTTGATAATACCTATGCTGGCTTTGTGAAAATTAACACTGGTTTTGAGGCAATCTATGCTGGCTTCAAGACAATCTACATGCTTGCAGTCAACCTACACAGGCTTTGAGACAATCTACACTGGCTTCGGGGTAATCTACGCTGGCTTCAAGACAATCTACACTGCCTCAAGTCAATCTACACTGGCTTCGAGAAAATCTATGCTGGATTTGAGTCAATCTATGATGGCTTCAAGACAATGAACGCTGGCTTCTTTTCAATCTATGTTGCTTTGAGAGAATCTATGCTGGCTAAGAGATAATCTACATTGGTTTTGAGTCAATCTGCGATGGCTTCAAGACAAACTATGCTGGCATTGAAACAATCTACATTGGCTTCATGTCTATCTATGTTGGCTTCAAGATAATCTACACTGGCTTCAAAAAAATCTATGCTGGCTTCTAGACAATCTACACTGCTTTCAAAAATATTTATGCTGCCTTCAAGACAATCTACTCTGGCCTCAAGAGAATCTACACTGGCTTCTTGTCAATCTGCGCTGGCTATGAGACAATCTACTCTGGCTTTGAGACAATTAACACTGGTTTTGAGGCAATCTATGCTGGCTTCAAGACAATCTACACTGACTTCGAGTCAATCTACACTGCCTTTGAGACAATCTGTGTGGGGGCTTTGAGACAATCAATGCTGGCTTTGAGTCAATCTATGCTGGCTTTGAGACAGTCTACACTGGCTTTGAGACAATCTATGCTGGCTTCAAAAAAATCCATGCTGTCTTACAGACAATCCACACTGGCTTTGAGACAATCTACGCTGACTTTGAGGCAATCTACACTGCCTTCAAGACAATCTATGCTGGCTTCAAAATATCTACGCTGGCTTCAAGACAACCTATGCTGGATTTGAGGCAATTTACAGTGGCTTTGAGTCTATCTACACTGGCTTTGAGATAATCTACCCAGGCTTTGAGACATTCAACACGGGTTTTGAGGCAATCTATGCTGACTTTGAGACAATCTATGCTGGCTTTGAGACAATCTAGCCCGGCCTCGAGTCAATCTACATTGGCTTCAACACAACTTACGCTGGCTTCTAGATAATCAACGCTAACTTCATTTCAATCTATGCTGACTTCAAGACAATTTATGCTGGCTCCAAAACAATCTATGCACTTCGAGTCAATCTATGCTGGCTTTGAGACAATCTACACTGCCTTAGACGCAATCTATACTGGCTTTGAGACAACATATACTAGCTTTGAGGCAATCAATGCTGGCTTTGTGTCTTTCGATGCTGGCTTTGAGATAATATACACTGGCTTTGAGGCAATATATGCTGTCTTCAAGACAATATATGCTGGCTTTTAAAAAATCTATGTTAATGTTGGGGCAATCTACGCTGGCTTTATAACAACATATGCTGGCTTTGAGACAATCTATGCTGGCTTTGAGGCAATCCACACTGGCTTCAAGACAATCTGCCCTTACTTTAAGGCAATCTATGCTTCCTTTGAGACAATCTACGCCAGCTTCGAGACAATCTATGTTGGCTTTGAGACAATTAACACTGGCTTTGTAAGGCAATCTATGCTGGCTTCAAGACAATCTACGCTGGCTTTGAAAAAATCTACACTGGCTTTGAGAAAATCTTTGCTGGCTTTTAGACAATTAACACTGGTTTAGAGGCAATCTATACTGCCTTCGAGACAATCTACGCTGGCTTCAAGTCAATCTATGCTAACTTTGAGATAATATATGTTGGTTTCAAGATAACACTGGCTTCAAGGCAATCTACACTGGCTTGGAGACAATCTACGCTGAATTGGAGTCAATCAACACTGGTTTTGCGTCATTCTATGATGGATTTGAGATAATCTACACTGGCTTCGAGACAATCAATGTTGGCTTTGAGGCGATTTATGCTGGCTTTGAGGCAATAAACGTTGACTTCCAGACAATCTACGCTGGCATCAAGACAATCTACACTGAATTGAAGTCATTCAATGCTGGCTTTGTGTCATTCTACACTGGCTTTGAGACAATCTACACTGGCTTTGAGGCAATATATGCTGGTTTTGTGACAATATATGCTGGCTTCAAAAAAATCTATGCTGGTTTTGAGACAATCTACACTGGCTTCCAGTAAATCTGTGCTGGCTTTGAGACAATCTATGCTGGCTTCAAGAAAACCTATGCTGGCTTCAAATCAATTTATGCTTGCTTTGAGACAATCTACACTGGCTTCAAGACAATATATCTTCAATGGTTTTGAGATAATGTATGCGGGCTTCAAGACTACACAAGTTTTGAGATAATTTACATAGACTACAAGACAATCTATGTGGGAAATGAGCCAATGTATGCAGGCATCGAGAAAATATAACTATAAAAGCATTGAGACAAATAACATGAACTTCAATAAAATCTACATGGGCTTCAATACAATCTATGCAGGCCTCAAGATAATCTACCTACACAAACTTCAGGACAATCTACGTGATCTTAGAGACAATTTATCTATGTGAGCTTTGAGACAATCTGTGCTGGATTTGACACAATCTGTGTATGCAGGCTTTGAGACAATCTACCTACACAAGCTTAAAGACACTTTACACACAATTTGAGACAATCCATGCAAGCTTTGAGACTATCTACATGGTCTTCGTGAGAATCTATGCAAGCTTTGGGGCAATCTATGCAGGCTTCAATACAATATACACTGGCATTGAGACAATATACACTGGTGTCAAGAAAACAATAGTTTCAAAACAATCTATGCTGGTTTAGAGAAAACATACTAGGCAGGCTTTGAGACAATCTATATACTCGGGCTTCAAGACAATCTATACAAGCTTTGAGACAATCTATGTGAACTTCGAGACAATCTAAGCAGGCTTCAAGACAATCTAAGTGGGCTGTGAGACAATCTGTCTATGTGGGCTTCAAGACAATTTACGTGGGCTTTTAGAAAATCTTTCTATGTGGGCTTTGAGATGATCTATGCTGGCTTCAAGACAATCTACACCAGCTTAGAGACAATGTATACATGCGGGCTGTGTGACAATTTATGCAGGCTTCACGACAATTTATGCAAGCTGTGAGACAATCTACACAAGCTTTTAGACAATCTTTGCAGGCTTCGAGACAATGTATGTGGGCTTCAAGACAATGTACCCTGGCTTTGAGATAATCAACGCTGGCATTGAGACAATCTGTGCTGGTTTTAAAACAATCTACGCTGGCTTAAAAATATATGTATGTAGGTATTGAGACAGTCTATGCAGGCTTTGAGACAATCTACACAAGCTTTGAGAAAATCTATACAGACTTTAAGACAATCTATCTATGCGGGCTTTGACACAATCTTTGCAGGCTGTGAGATACGGGCTATGAGACAATCTACGTGGGCTTCAAGAAAATCTATCTACGCAGGCTTTGAGACAATGTATATATGCAAGCTTTAGGACAATCTGCAAGATTTTAGATTGTTGAGATTGAGATTGTTGAGATTGTCTTGCAATTTGAGATTTCAAGACAATTTACGCAGACTTTGAGAAAATTACGCAGACTTTGAGACAATCTACTCAAGCTTTAAAACAATCTACTCAGGCTTCGAAACAATCTATGCTGGCTTCAGGACAATCAATGCTTGCTTCAAGAAAATCAACGCTCGTTTTGAGATAATCTACGCTAACTTAGAGACAACGTATGTACCCAGGCTTAGAGAAAATCTATCTATGAGGGCTTCAAGACAATCTACACTGGCTTCAAGACAATCTACGCAGGCTTTGACATAATCTGTTTACTACATAGGCTTGCAGACAATCTATCTACGTGGGCTTCAAGACAATCTACATGGGCTACCTGACAATCTAAGTGGGCTTCAAGACAATCTGCAGAGGCTTTGAGACAATCTACACTCTCTTTGAAACAATCTATGCTGATTTCTAGACAATCTACACTGGCTTTATGTCAATCTACACTGGCTTCGAGAAAATCTACGATTGCTCAGAGACAATGTATTAGGCAGACTTTGAGACAATCCATGCGGGTTTTGAGACAATCTATGCAAACTTCTAGAAAATCCTTCTATGTAAGGTTTAAGACATTCTATGCTGGCTTCAAGACAATCTATGCTGGCATCAAGACAATCTCTGCTGGCTTCAAGACAATCTAGATTGGCTTAGACAACATGCGTATGTCATTGTGACATTCTATATATATGACATTCTATCTTTGCGACATTCTATCTTTGCAACATTCTATCTATGCAGGCTTTAACACGATTTATGCAAGCTTTGAGACAGTCTGTACAAGCTTCTAGACAATCTAGGCAGGCTTCAAGACAATCAACATTGGCTTTGAGACAATCTATGCTGGCTTCGAGAATATACACGGGCTTCAAGACAATCTATGCTGGCTTTGAGAAAATCTATGCGAGCTTCAAGCAAATCTATTTGGGCTTTGTGACAATATATCTCCGCAGGCTTTGACACAATCTATGCAGGCTTTGAGACAATGTATATATACAAGCTTTGAGACAATCTACCTACATGCACTTTGAGACAATCTACACAAGTGTCAAGACAATCTGCATTGGCTTTGATACAATCTACCCTGGCTTTGATACAATCTACACTGGCTTTGAGACAATGTATATGCGCAAGCTTCAAAACAATCTATCTAGGCATGCTTCCAGACAATCTATACAGGCTTTGAGACAATATCTATGCAGGCTTCACAACAATCCATGTAAGCTTTGGTACAATTTATGCAGACTTCAAGACAAACTATGCAGGCTTTGAGACAATATATGCTTGCTTCGAGACAATCTACACTTGTTTAGAGACAATGTATGTATACCGGCTTCAAGACAATCTATCTATGTTGCTTTGAGACACTCTACACTGGCTTTGAGACAATCTACACTTGTTTAGAGACAATGTATGTATACCGGCTTCAAGACAATCTATCTATGTTGCTTTGAGACAATCTACACAGCTTTGAGATGATCTATGTGGGCTTCAAAACAATCTATACAACCTTCAAGACAATCTATGTGGGCTATGAGAAAATCTATGTGGCCAGTGAGCCAATCTATGCCAGCTTTGAGAACATATATCTATGTGTGCTTCGAGACAATCAACACAAACTTTGAGACAATCTATGTGGGCTTTGAGATAATCTATCTCCATGGGCTTCAAGATTATCTATCTATGTGAGCTTGTAGACATATCTATGCAAGCTTGAGACAATCTATGCAGGTTTTGAGACAATCTACACTGGCTTCAAGACAATGTATATGTGCAGGCTTTGCGACAATCTACATGGGCTTCAAGACAATATATGCTGGCTTTGAGACAAAATGCTGGCTTGAGACAATCACTTCTGGCTTCGAGACAATCTACACTGGTTTAGAGACAATGTATGCACACATGCTTTGAGACAAGCTATCTATACAGGCTTGAAGACAGTCTACGCAAGCTTTTAGACAATCTACACAGACTTTGAAACTATCTACAAGAGCTTTGAGACAATCTATATCAGCTGTGAGACAATCTATCTAGGCAGGCTTCGAGACAGTTTACTTGAGCTTTGAGAAAATCATTCCATATGTGCTTCCAAACAATATACTCTGGCTTTGAGACAATCTACACTGGCTTCGAGAATATCTACACATGCTTCAAGACAACCTACACCCTCTTTGAGAAAATCTACCCCAAGTTCGAGACCATATATCTACACGGGCTTTGAGACAATATATCTACACAAGCTTTGAGACAATATGTGCAAGCTACCAGACAATTTATGTGGGCAATGAGCCAATCTATGTAGGCTTCAAGAATATGTATCTACTCAGGCTTCAAAACAATCAACACAGACTTTGAGACAACCTACACAAGCTTTGAGACAATCTATTTACACAGGCATTGCGACAATTTACGTGGGCTACGAGACAATCTACGCTGGCTTCAAGATGATCTACACTAGCTTAGACACAATCTATATATGCAGGGTTTGAGACAATCTATCCACGCCTACAGAGAACCAGCTTGGTCGTGAGACCCCCACCCAGGCAGTGCTGAAGGTATTTGAGACAATCTGCACCATCTCTGAGACAATCTACATGAGCTTTGAGACAACCTACTACAAACTTCAAGACAATCTACATGAACTTTGAGACAATCTACATGAACTTCAAGACAATCTACACGAACTTCTAGACAATCTACACGAACTTCCAGACAATCTACCACAAACTTTGAGACAATCTACATGAACTTTGAGATAATCAACCATGAACTTCAAGACAATCTACACAAACTTTGAGACAATCTACACAAACTTCAAGACAATCTACCACAAACTTTGAGACAAGCTACATGAACTTCAAGATGATCTACCATGAACTTCGAGACAATCTACACGAACTTCGTGACAATCTACACAAACTTCATGACAATCTACATGAACTTTATGACAATCAACCATGATCTTCAAGACAATCTACCACAAACTTCATGACAATCTATGCAAACATTGAGAAAATCTATGTGAACTTCAAGACAATCTACATGAACTTGGAGACAATCTTTGTGAACTTCATGACAATCTACACGAACTCTGTGACAATCAACCATGAACTTCAAGACAATCTACACGAACTTCCAGACAATTTACACAAACTCCAAGACAATCTACACAAACTTTGAGACAATCTACATGAACTTCCAAACAATCTACATGAACTTTGAATCTGCACGATCTTTGAGACAATCTACACGACCTTCAAGACAATCTACACAAACTTTGAGACAATCTCTCAATAACTTTAGACAATCTACACAACCTTTGAGATGATCTATATGAACTTCGAGACATCTACACAAACTTTGAGACAATCTACCATCAGAGCAATTTGGTATCTCGGTGCTTCCATTCTTTGTCATTTAGTCCATCTACACCACTGAGTTCTAGATAAACAAATCAATTTAGTTTACTTTTTTATTTTATTTATTTATTTATTTATTTAGAGACAAGGTCCTGCTCTGTGGCCCAAGCTGGAGAATAGTGGTGCAAACATGGTTCACTGCTGTCTCAACCTCCTGGGCTCAAGTGATCTTTACACCCCAGCCTCTTGAGTCCCTGGGAATACAGATGCATGCCACCACATCCAGCTCATTAAAAAATTTTTTTTGTAGATGAGTGTCTCACTCTATTGCCCAGGCTGATGTTGAACTCCTGGGCTAGCTAAAGTAATTCTTCCACCATGGCCTCCCACAGTATTGAGTTTACAGATGTGCCACTATGCCTGGCCTACCTTTTACTATTTAATTTCAAGTGCTGTTAGAACCTGGATATTTTAACTTTTAAATTTTGTCCTGAAAGATCATCCTGTGAAATTTTATTTTCTGCCCTTTTTGAGTGATAATGTTTCTCTTTAAATAAAAATAATCATATCCAACCTATCTAAATAGCATGCTATGTATTTTCTCACTACAGCTTGCATTGTATAAATTCAAATAACTCTCAGTTAACATTTCTCTTAACTTTATTTGAGTCAGTGTTTAGTTTTCCTATAGAGGGGCTTTAAGAAGACAGCGGTCTTCTTAAAGATTCCACATGATGAGCAGAGGTGATAAATATAAACAGAGCTTTTAGGGTTTTGTTGGAAACCTCTTCACTTGTAAGTCAAAATGCAGACTTTGCTTTTTAAACGTATTTTCTAGCACAACTAAGTACCCTTCAAATAGCTGACCTGCCTCAAACCTTTTAGTGATCACAGTTATTTACTTAAAAAGACAAAACAAAACAAAACAAAAAAAATGGAGTTGTGTGTGGCCAAATTTGTTTAGTTTGTAACAGCAAAACCATCGCTGAAGCATGAGTTTTGCAAGTTGAATGAGGGTTAACACAGCCCAGCTGGATGCAACGTGTGTGGCAGAGGGTGCCATCATAGTGCCTGTGATTTTGGCTGGGAGAGACGAAGTGGAGGCACAGGGCAGGCTGCTTCACAGGGTAGGACACAGGCTCTAGTGGCCCAGCCCAGGCACATGGTTGCTTCACATGTGTCTAATGCACTTCTTACTCCCTAGGGAACACACAACCATCCAGATGCAATAACTCATCAGCAGATCCAGTTTTTAAGTTTTCCTTCATTTAAAGTCAGCCACTTTTATACTTTCTTCTAAAAGCACTTCTAATCAAGAACTGTAACGTCATAATTTTTTTACTGTAAATTAGCATAAATTTCAAGTAAGTTGATACTTAATTGAGCAAAAAGTAACTCCTTAAAAACAGGGCGCGTTAGCCAATTGGGGGATGGGCAATGAAGTTACTTTTTCAGGCAGTTACTTTTTCTAGACAAATGCTATGAAATCTCTGTAGATCAACAAGATCAACTCTCAGTTGGAACAAAGCAAGCTTGCAGTGTTTTTAAAATAGTCTGAAAAATGTGTGAACATATGAGGGAGAACTCTGCAAATTTTGTTTAAAATTTAAAAGGCTCTCCTTGAAGAGGTCCTTTACATCCTTTGTTAGTTGTATTCCTAGGTATTTTATTCTCTTTGTAGGAATTGTGAATGGCAGTTTGCTCTTGCCTTGGCTCTGTTTGTCTGTTACTGGTATATAAGAATGCTTGTGATTTTTGCACATTGATTTTGTATCCTGAGACTTTGCTGAAGTTGCTTATCAGTTTGAGAAGATTTTGGGCTAAGACGATGCGGTCTTCTAGATATACAATCATGTCATCTGCAAATAGAGACAGTTTGACTTTGACTTCCTCCTATTCTAATTGAATACCTTTTATTTCTTTTTCTTGCCTGATTGCTCTGGCTAGAACTTCCAATACTATGTTGAATAGGAGTGGTGAGAGAGGGCATCCTTGTCTAGTGCCTGATTGCAAAGAGAATTCTTCCAGCTTTTGCCCATTTAGTATGATATTGGCTGTAGGTTTGTTATATATAGCTTTTATCATTTTATGATACATTCTGTCAATACCTAGTTTATTGAGAGTTTTTAGCATGAAGGGTTGTTGAATTTTACCAATGGCCTTCTCTGCATCTATTGAGATAATCATGTGGTTTTTGTCTTTGGTTCCGTTTATGTGATGGATTACATTTATGGATTTGCATATGTTGAACCAGACTTGCATCCTTGGGATGAAGCCTATTTGATCGTAGTGGATAAGCTTCTTGATGAGCTGTTGCAATCTGTTTGCCAGTATTTTATTGAAGATTTTTGCGTCAATGTTCCTCATGGATATTGGCCTGAAGTTTTCTTTTTTAGTTGAGTCTCTGCCTGTTTTTGGTATCAGGATGATGTTGGTCTCAGAAAATGAGTTAGGGAGGATTCACTCCTTCTGTACTGTTTGATACAGTTTCAGAAGGAATGGAACCAGCTCCTCTTTGCACATCTGGTAGAATTTGGCTGTGAACCCGTCTGGACCTGGACTTTTTTTGGTTGGTAGGCTATTGATTTCTGCCTCTACTTCAGCCCTTGTTACTGGTCTATTCAGAGTTTCAACTTCCTCCTGGTTTAGTCTTGGTAGAGTACAAGTATCTAGGAATTTATCCAAACCACTGCTCAACGAAATAAGAGAGGACACAAACAGATGGAAAAACATTCCATGTTCATGCTTAAGAAGAATTAATATTGTGAAAATGGCCATACTGCCCAAAGTAATCTGTAGATTAAATGCTATCCCCATCAAGCTACCAATGACCTTCTTCACAGAACTGAAGAAAACCACTTTAAACTTCATATGGAATCACAGAAGACCCTGCATAGCCAAGACAATCCTAAGCAAAAAGAACAAAGCCAGAGGGATCACACTGCCAGACTTCAAACTATACTACGAGGCTACAGTAATCAAAACAGCATGGTACTGGTACCAAAACAGAGACATACACCAATGGAACCGAACAGAGACCCCCAGAAAAAACACCACACATCTACAACCATCTGATCGTTGACACACCTGCAAAACCAGGCAATGGGGAAAGGACTCCATGTTTAATAAATGGTGTTTGGAAAACTGGCTAGCAATGTGCAGAAAGCAGAAACTGGACCCCTACCTGTCACTTTACACTAAAATTAACTCCAGATGGATCAAAGATTTAAACCTAAAACCTAACACCATAAAAACACTAGAAGAAAATGTAGGCAAAACCATCCAGGACATAGGCACAGGTAAGGACTTCATGACTAAAACACCAAAAGCAATGGCAATAAAAGCCACGATAGACAAATGGGATCTAATTAAACTCCACAGCTTCTGTACAGCAAAAGAAACAATCATTAGAGTGAATTGGCAGCCAACAGCATGGGAAAAAATTTTTGCAATCTATTAATCTGACAAAGGGCTAATATCCAGAATCTACAAAGAACTCAAACAGTAAAAAAACAACCCCATTCAAAAGTGGGCAAAGGATATGAACAGACACTTTTCAAAAGAGGACATATATAAGGCCAACAAACATATGAAAAAATGCTCATCATCATTAAATGGTCATTAGAGAAATGTAAATCAAAACCACACTGAGATATCATCTCACGCCAGTTAGAATGGTGATCATTAAAAAATCTGGAGACAACAGATGCTGGAGAGGCTGTGGAGAAATAGGAACACTCTTACACAGTTGGTGGGAATGTAAATTGGTTCAACCATTGTGGAAGACAGTGCAGTGATTTCTCAAGGATCTAGAAACAGAAATTCCATTTGACCCAGCAGATCCCACTACTGGGTATATACCCAAAGAACTATAAATCGTTCTACTATAAAGACACATGCACACGTATGTTCACTACAGCCCTGTGTACAATAGCAAGACTGGACAAAGAAAATGTGGTACATATACACCATGGAATACTACGCAGCCATAAAAAACAATGAGTTCATGTCCTTTATAGGGACTTGGATGAATCTGGAAACCATCATTCTCAGCAAACTGACACAAGAACAGAAAGCCAAACACCATATGTTCTCACTCATAGGTGGGTGTTGAACAACGAGAACACGTGGACTCAGGGAGAGGAGCATCACACACTGGGGACAGTTGGAGGGGGTAGGGGAGAGACACGGGGTGGGGAGGGATAACATGGGGAGAAAAGCCAGATATAGTATGCACCTAAAGTAAATTAAATAAATTTAAAAACATAAAAAATAAAAAATAAAATTTAAAAGGCTACAGACAAGCCCTTGAAGAAAGGTATGTATTTTTTGATGTTGGTATGAACTGACTGAGATGAGCTATAACTGCACAGGTGCCTGCCGACGATGTGCCTGCCGACGAACTGAAATCATGTGCTTGTCTCTCTCCTCCATTGGACAGTAGGCTCCTTGGGAGCTCCTTCGTGAATATTTGCCATAATCATGGACCACAATAATTTAAATAACCTTTATATGTTACTTTCGGACACTTCTGAACTTCCTGTTTATCAGCCTGTCTCCCAGCACACTTCCCTTGCAGCTAGAAAGCAGGGTATTGGCCTGGACTTGGCTAATGGGACACACCCAAATGAGACTTCAGTTTGGAAGTGCCACAAGGAAGCAGGCGCTCTGTGGAATATCCGCTCTGCTGGTCTACTTGCAGCTTTTTTGATGGAGAAGTGATGGTTCTGTCCAGCAGCAGAAGTACAGGCATTAACTAGGGGACAGCAGCAGTGACGGCAGCTTCCTCATTGGTTTGGTTCCACAGCATGGGGGCAGGGTTGGTCCTGGAAGCAAGAGTCATTCCCAGTCTGCAGCATGACTTTGAAAGCAACCTCTGAACCTTTAGTTAATCTCTGCTGCTCAAACTGGTCAGAGTAGGTTCTGTTACTTGCAGTTAAGAACTCTAACCAACCTCAGACAGGTAACATGACTTACCAGTTGTCATGTCGTCAGTTCAGTACTGGACATGGGCATGTGGAAAGGCACAGTGCACCGCCTTCAAAAAGGCCAAGGGAGGGGATTCCTGCCTTTGCAGGCCCAGAGACTCTTGTCAGTGCCAAAGGCTCTGCAAGTATTTAAATTGTGCTGCAGGTGGAAAGTCTTAGTCCATTTGGGCTCCCATAGCAAATTCCATAGGCTGGATGGCTTTGGCAGCAAACTCCTACTTCTCGTAGTTCTGGAGGCTGGGAAATCCAAGACTGCCAGCAGTTCTGAGGTCTGGTGAGGGCTGCTTCCTGGTTTGCAGAAGGCTGTTTTTTCATGGTGGAAGGGTCAAAGGAGCTCTCCTGGGCCTCTTTTATGAGGCCACTAATCCCATTCACACAGCCTGTACCCTCATGACCACATCACCTCCCAGAAGCCCCACCCGCTAATACTATCACAATGGAGATTAGTTTTCAAAACATGAATTGTTGAAGGCACAGCATTTAGTTCATAATATGAAAGAATAGAATTGTATTTAACATTTGCAATAATAAAAGTTTCACATGAACTGGAAAGGCTCATGTTGGCAGGATAGGTGCACTCTCTAAGTTCAACTTCAATAAAAGAGCCTAAGAGTGAAATTAGAGCAGGAATTGCTAGAAAGAAGGAAGGAAGAGGAGGAGAGGAGGCAGAAAGAGAGGAAGAAGGGAGGGAGAAAAGGAGGGAAGAAAGGAGGAAGGGAATGAAAAAGGAAGGGAAGAAAGGAGGATAGGGAAGGAGGGAGAGAGAGTGTGGAAAAAGGAAGGAAGAAAAGAAAAAAATGGAAGGAAGGGAAGGAGGAAGGAAGGGGGAAAAAAGGAAGGGAGAAAAGGAGGGGAGAAAGGGAGAGAAAGACGAAGGAAGGAAGGAAAGGAGAGGGAGGGAGGGAGGAAGGAAGAGAGAAGGAAGAAAAAGGGGAGGAAGGAAGAGAAGAGAAAGGAAGGAAGGAAAGTAGAGAGATAAAGGAGGAAGTTTAAATGTTCTATATGATTCCAAGGTACTTAGCATAAATGGCTCCATTCTGGTTTGGTCTGCTTTGCTGGGGCCTAGTGTAGGAGGCTTGTCTAAAACAGTGGCTTCCCATAAACTGTGTTTAACATTTATCAGTGCCTGTTTGTCACAAAGGATATTTTAAAGAATACAAATGCACAGGCAGATGAATGGATACATAGGGTCAGGATTGGAAATTCCTGAGCAGAAAAGCTTGTCCCCAAGGAGTTGTGTTGTGCTACTGTCCTAGTACACTGATAGGTTCTTGTTGATCAACCCAGAAGCTCTCTGAATCCGGCCTTTTTGTTTTTGTATGGAGGTTTCATTACCTAGACATGATTGATTCAATCACTGGCCATTGTGATTGACTCAACCTCCAGCCCTTCTTCCCTCCAAGGCTGAGGGTAGCCTAAGGCTGAAAGTTCTAACCCTCTAATCACACAAGTGTTATCCTGGCAACCCCCTCTCATGCTGAGGCAATCCAGGAGCCCCCAACCCACATTCATCTCACTGGCATACAAGTAGACACATCACTTTGGAGATTATATGGGTTTTAGGAGCTACATGCCAGGATAAAGGAGGAAGATCAAATATACATTTCCTATTATAAATCATAGTATCACAGAGAGCCAAGTAGAGAAAAACAAAAAAGCCCATACCTAGAAGTATTATAGCCACACCTCAGAATATCAAACACAAAGGAAATTCTAAAAGCTTCCAGAGAGAAAGAACTAGTCACCTATAAATAGGGTAACTGTACACCTATAAGTAAGTGGACCACGTGTCTTAATGTACACAGGACAGTCCTGGGTTACACCTACTGACAGGCATAATTATTAGTAGTGTCCCCTTCACGCTCCAAAGTGTCCTAGTTGAATGATAAATTATATCATCATCCTGCCTAACAAAGGAATAAGAGTCAGACTGATTATGGACTCCTCAATAGAAAAATGGTACAAGAGGAAAATGGTGTAATGTTTTTAAAAAATTAAAAGAAAATTGAATACTAAAAGTCTTATCCAAATTGTCATTAAATGTGAAAGTATAATAAAAACATTCTCATTCATACATCTCCAAAATTTTGCCACATGTTGAAAATACCCTTGAAGGAAGGTTTAGATAAGAGAACGGCAAATCCAGGATATTTCTACAAAACACATGAAAATTATGGGTAACTGAATACCTAAAGTTTATTATAGGACCTGTCAAAAGAAAACCTTTTTAGACAAATTAAACAATTTAATTGAGCAAAGGACAGTTCATGAATCAGCAGCACTGAACCAGTGGAGGTTCTGAGAGCTCTGTTCCTCAGAGTGGGTAGAGAGAGTTTATAGATCGAAAAGGGAACTGAGGTGCAGAAACAGTTGGACTGGTTTCAGCTTTGTGTTGCTGTATTTGGATGTGGTCTGATCAGCAGGAAGCCTGTGACTGGTTGAAGGTCAGCTGCTCCGATTAGCTGACACTCAGCTGTTTGTTACAAAGAACAGTCCTTAATTAGGCTTTCAGTTTATTTACCTACTAAACCAGTTTATATTTCCTTACTTAGGGATATAAGCTATGGCAGCCTCAGGCCAAGTTTTAATTTAACAATCAAAAAAGGAAAATGACTGTTTCCATAACAACCCAGAACTAAAATATTGGCATGATGGGGGCTGAGGGAAGTGGGAGATTAAGGAACATTATCACATGCAAAAATTCTTGACTTGAAAGCACTGTATTGCAGGCTTCAAATTAACTGTTACTATTATGAGAACAAAAGTGTAATGTTTAACTTTTAAACTGGCAGAATACTCAAAATGACCAAAAGAAAGAAGGAAAGGAGACTTTTAAAAAATGAAACAAAAATTCAATAAAAGTAAAATATGAAATAAAATAGCAAAAATAAATCCTATCAAAAGAAATCCTGTCAAAGGGAAACCTTCTTAGACAAAGTAAACAATTTAATTGAGCAAAGAACGATTCATGAATCAGCAGCACCGAACCAGTGGAGGTTTGAAGAGCTCTGCTCCTCAGAGTGGGTAGGGAGAGTTAGGGGCTCTCTTGTTAGGGGCTAATGCAGCTGGTGACCTTATGTTCACACCAATGTTCCCTTACCATTCTGAAAATCCAAGGTCCCTTAAGAATAATACAAAATCTACTCTGCCTGTGCCTGCATAAGGAACATCAAAGCCCGGATGACAGTAAATCTGTTTATAGCATGGTTGAATAAATATTTTAAGCCCATTGTTGAGACTCACTGCTCAGAAAAAAAAAAGATTCCTTTCAAAATATTACAGCCCATTGACAATGCACCTGGTCACCCAGAGCTCTGATGGAGATACACAAGATGAATGTTGTTTTCATGCCTGCTAACACAACACCCATTCTGTAGCTTATGGATCAAGAAGTCATTTAGACTTTCAAGTCATATTACTTAACAAATACCTTTCATAAGCCTACAGTTGCCACAGACAGTGATTCCTCGGATGAATTGGGGCAAAGCAAATTGAAAACCTTCTGGAAAGGACTTACCATTTTAGATGCCACTAAAAACATTCATGATTCATGAGAGGAGGTCAAAATATCAACATTAACAGGAATTTGGAAGAAATTGAATCCAACTCTCATGGGTGATTTTGAGGGGTTCAAGACTTCAACGGATGTAGTAACTGCAGATGTGGTAGAAATAGCAAGACAACTAGAATGAAAAGTGGAGCTGAAAATTTGACTGAATTGATGCAATCTCATGATAAAACTTGAACAGATGAATGAACAAAGTGGTTTCTTGAGACAGAATCTACCCCTGGTAAAGATGCTGTGAACGTTGCTGAAATGACAACAAAGGATTTAGAATATTGCAAGAAGTTAAGAAGACTGACTTCAATTTTGAAAGAAATTCTACTGTGGGTAAAATGCTATTAAACAGCATTACATGCTACAGAGAAATCTTTCATGAAAGGAAGAGTCAATCAATGCAGCAAACTTCGCTGTTGTCTTATGTTGAAACTTGCCACAGCCAACCCAAACTAGAGTAACCACCACCCTGATCAATCTGCAGCCACCAACATCTAAGCAAGACCCTCCACCAGCAAAAAGATTATAACTCACTGAAGGTTCAGATGATTGCTAGCATTGTTTGGTAATAAAGTATTTTTAAATGAAGCCATGATCATTGTTTTTTTTCAGACATAATGCTATTGCACCCTTAATAGGCTATAGTATAAATATAACTTTTACATGTACTGGGGAACCAAAAAATTTATAATTGCAATTTTTTGCTTTATTGTGGTGATCTGAAATTGAATAGAGGACACTCTGGTGAAGCTCTCCTAGGCATTTTTCTACTAACTTTCTCAAAACATAATAAACAGATAATACTACACTTTGGCCCTCCAGAAAGTCAACAAGCTAAATGTCTTGGCATCCCAAAATACTGTTGCCATGACCTTTGCTCTTGACTGGTCCCCTTTTGCCTTTAAGGGATCACTTCAGCCTCTTGGTAGCTATTGCTTTGATTGTGTTTAGTCTTCAGTATTGTACTGGTGAAGCCATATTTCAACTCCTGTTACAATTCTTTGAAGAAATGCTTCATGATCTTGATTCCACTTGTTTTAAATTTCCATTGAAACCTCTGCTTCTGTCTGCAGTTGATCTGGGCATGAGGGTTTTGGCGCTCACCAAGTAGAAAGTTTGCTCTACTTTAACTTTCGGTCAGAATTGGGTAAGCTGAACCAGCTGAGATATCTATGATGTTGACTATTGTTTGTGCTGTTAATTGTCAGTCCTCTTCAGTTAGGGCATGAATAAAATGAATTTTTTTCCTCATAAATTGATATGAATGGTCGCCCACTGCTTCATCTTCAACTTCATCTTCCTCCCTTCTGAAAACAGGTTATAACCATTTGTAAACTGCTGATTCCTTTGGGACACTGTCCTATAAATGTCTTATAAAATATCAATGGTTTCACCATTCTTGCACGCAAACTTCATCATAAATTTGATGTTTGTTCTTGCTTCATTTTTTTCTTCCTTTGTGCTTTCAAGTCATATTGCTATGATAGGGGCTCTTTTCAAATTGATACCTTATCCTTCTTAGTGCCTCAAACTTGGACCTGTTCAGACATGTTTTAAGAAGTTAGTACATGTTTATTTTGACGCAAAAAAGTTTAAAACTCATGCATAGTTTTTTCATAAGACACATTTCCCATGAACTTTTTGAAGACCTCTCATATACATATATATGTGCATTAGATTATTAATTGCAATACCGTTTCTTATTGAAAAATATTAGAAACAACCTAAGTAGTCATTGAGAAAACCATGGAACATGCAGTATTATGCAGATGTGCCAAAAAAGGGGAAAGATCTCTGAAAATTGGTATGAACTGATTTCCAGAATATACTGTTAAATAAAAAAGCAAAATAAGAAGAGTATAATATATTATCCTTCATGTAAGAAAGAAAGGAGATGTGGGAAAGTATACATGTATCAGCTGTCTTGTGCAAAAGAAACAAGTAGAAACGAGAAATTAATGAGATTATTTACCTAGAGGGCATGGGTGGGAATTGGGGTGGAAAGAATGAGAGGAGGGAATGAGAAGAGAAAGGGGAAAGTGATACTTCTGGGTGTAGCTTTTGATATAATTATGGTTCTCAGAACAATGCTCTTCCATATTCCTCCTGCCCAAATTAACATTTAAAATCAACTGTGATGAGGGAACCCAAAATAGAATGCAAACAGTACAAAATGAACCTAACTCAATTATCAATAGATAACACAACTACACTGAGGCGTGGGGAAGAAAATCGCCAAACTCTATGAATTTGGAAAACAGAATATTGACTGTACATTGTAAAGCTAAAGACAAAAAAAGCCAGAAACAGATATACACAAATATTTTACTCTCATCAGGAAATGTGTTTTCCACAGGAGTATGGTGAGAAATTCTGAAACTACTTTGTGTCTAGGACTAAGCAAATAAGAAAATAGACCATGGTGAAGAGGGCCAGATTTCTCATTGTTGGAAAAAGAAGTTATAGGCCCAGGGCAGTGGCTCATGCCTGTAATCCCAGCACTTCAGGAGGCCAAGGTGGAGGGAGATCGCTTGAGCCCAGGAGGTTGAGACCAGCCTGGGCTATACGGCGAGACCTTGACTCTACAAAATATTTAAAAATTGCCCAGCGTAGTATCATATACCTGTAGACCCCGCAAGAATTGCTTGAGCCCAGGAGGTTGAGTGGGCTGTGATCATGTGACAGCCAGGGCAGGGCAAGAGAGACCCTGTCTCAAAAATAAAAAAAAGAAGAAAAAGAAATTACAAATAAGGAAAAGGGGAGGATAGGATGAGTGACAGATATCAACATCAACTTAAGGTTAATATACGTATAAATAATCTTATATTACGTGTATATAGATACATATGGAAACACACACAGGCGTGCTGGTATGTATGTGTGTATATATATAAAATATGTACATATATATATATTTTTTTTTCCTTAACTCCATCTGCCCAGGTGGACCAGAAGCAATGACATCCCCATAGCAATGAGCCTATCTGGAGTGCAGCTATTGGTTCCTAAATATGAATTTTCAAAGAAACCAGGGCTCCTTAGAAAATGATTAATTCCAATGCTATGGTGGGAAGATGCAAGATTAGGTTGGAGCATCTTACAATGCCAGAAATTAAAGAACTGCCCAGAAAATAATTAGGAAATACTGAAAGAAACAAGAGGCAGCTTAAAGAAGCTGCCAGCGACCCAGCCTGGGACAACTTGTGCAACAAAATAAGCAATAGTAATTAGCAATTCACAGGATAAAACAGACACTCATGAATCCACACTAATAGTACAAACGAATAAGGGAATGAATGAATACATATATACTTCATACATACATACATGCCTACAAGCAGAAGGGATATCTCTTCCTTATGGTAGATTTCTGAAAAATAAGTGCAGATTGAATAACAGAAATTAAAAAAAAATCACCATTAGGCAAGTACCACAGTAACAATGCATGTGGGTGGACATCATCTATCGATGCTAAAAATTAGCGGTGGAGTATAGTGAGAAACAGTAACTGCTGTCTTAAAGTATCTTCCCACAAGTTACAGATTAATTCCAGAGGGAAGAACAGTAACTCTACAGTGAAGAAACATGGCTGATGCCACCCTGCCCCAAGCAGTCAGCTAACGGCCCTTGTAAAGACACACGGAGTCAAGGACACCAAACTTTGCTGACGTGATGCACTGAGAACACCTCTATAGTGTTCTTGTCAAATATGCAGAGCCTCAATATCATCATGAGGAAGTATCAGATTAACCCGAATTAACGGGCACTCTATGAAACAGTGGGCAGTAATCTTCAAGTGTGCCAAACCTAGGAAAGATACAGAAAGGTGGCATGCTGTCACATGCTGGAGGACGCTAAGGGGACACGAGGGCTAAATGTACTGTGGACTGGATCGTGGATGAGAAAGAGGCCCCTCAGGAGAAGCTAGAGAGACAGCAGCAGGGCCTGGTTTCATCAAAGACAATTTTTCCACAGCTAGAGGCGGTGGACAGTTTTGGGGTGAAACTCTTCCACCTCAGATCATCGGGCATTAGATTCTCATAAGGAGCTCGCAACCTAGATTCCTCACATGCGCAGTTCACAAGTGGGATCATGCTCCTTCCTATGAGAATCTAGTGCTGCTGTTGCTGAAACAGGAGCTAGAGCTCAGGTGGTAATGCTCACTCGCCTGTGCTCACCTCCTGCTCTGCCGCAGGTTCCTAACAGGCCTTGGGCCACCAGTCCTTTGCCCGGGGGGAGGTGTGGTAGGGGAGTCCTATCTTACAGGATCACCGTCATATACGCAGCCTGTCATTAGCCACGTGTCGTTGTGCCATGTGTGACTGTCCTTCAGGGTCCCTGTCTGCGCAGCCTGATATCTTCATTCGCTACAGTTGGCGTCCCGCTTCCTGCACAGACTGCAGGTCTGCTGGCCCTGGAAGCCATCTTGACTTCAGCACCTGACGGGAGAGCAGCTCAGTATCAAGGCTGATTGGACATCGTTGTTACCTCATCCACACGCAGCAAAGCTCCTGGGTCCTCTGTTCAGTGATGGGAGTGTGGTCCACTAGCACGCAAGATACAACAAACACTTGGTTTATTCTGGTCATTTGAATACTCAGTTGTACCTTTCCAGACCTCACTAGCCCTCTGAAAAGAGAGGTACAGAAATAAGGAGACTCTCTCAGGTCTGGCTGAAATGCCTCTTGCTTATTGCAGGCAAATGGGGCGGTCAGCGTGAGGCAGGACCCACACCCCGTGTGCTCCTTCTCCTTCCATCTGTTTGCTGCTGCTCCCCTTTGTAGGCCTCACAAGACTAGACCCGGCCCCTCCTCCTTCACTTCCAGGGCTCTGCTCAGATGCCTCTCAAATTTCTGTCTCTAAACATGTACACTCTCCAATTAACCCTAAAATTAACATGGAAAAAATGTATGTCTCAGATTATTTAATGTGCTCTAGTTATGTTATTCAGTTATTCACTCTAGAAGCACATGTTAAGCTTCTAGCATGAACCTGGCTCTGTGCCCAGGGAAAGGTCTGAACATACTGGGGCCACAGACAGTGGTCGGCGATGTCAGTGGAATGTTTGCTAAGGTTCACCTTAGGACAAACAGAGCAGCCAGGAAAGCACAGGAGGTCACCTATCCGTGTCTTTAGAGGTCCAGGAAGGCTTCCTGGAGGAGACATCTCAGGTGGGAACCACAAGTCAAGCTGAACTTGGCCAAGAAAGGGAGCCTGGAGGAGCTTGGGGATAGATGGACAAGGCATTTGGGGGGGGGACCAAGGTTTCAAGCAATGAGAACCACATGTAGAAAGGACTGGAAGAGACTGTGGACTTCAGACTCAAAGCCACTGCACCACACACTTTTTAACATATTTCTAACCACTCAGAGACTCCATTTCAAGTATAATTTCCTACCTAAACTGTCACATGAGAATGATGCACTCAATGTTTTCTACCAAGCACAGTGTGAAATCTTATGGAATAGGAAATGCAAAACTGTGCTGTCCAGGTTCTGTATTAATTAACTTCATTTCAAAATGCTTAAAATATTGTCCTTGGGAAAGGTTTCCACATGCCCTCATGATACTCCTCTCCTAAGCTGTCTTCCTGGAACCAAGATTCTTTCACCAGTCATTTAGGTGTTTGTGTTGGGGGGTGTGGTTTGTGTGTGGGGTCCCCTTAGAGCCAGCTCCTGTCATGGGAAGAAGCCAGAGAAGGGCCAGGCGTAATGGCTGACACCTGTAATCCCAGCACTTTGGGAGGTAAGGCAGATGGATCACCTGAGGTCACGAGTTCGAGACCTGCCTGACCAACATGGTGAAACCCTGTGTGCTAAAATGCAAAAATTAGCCCAATATGGTGGCGGGCACTTGTAATCTCAGCTACCTGGGAGGCTGAGGCAGGAGAATCGCTTGAACCCAGGAGGGAGAGGTAGCAGTGAGCCAAGTTCACACCATCGCACTCCAACCTGGGCAACAAGAGCAAAATCCTGTCTCAAAAAAAAAAAAAAAAAGTATGTGTACGATGCAAGAGTTTGGAATAAATCTAATATTTTATCATTGGTCTTTTACTATCTCTCATGATGCCCCTCTCCTAAGCAGTCTTCCTGGAACCAAACCCCTTTCACCATTTAGGTGTTTGTGTTGGGGGGTGTCCTTTGTGTGTGGGGACCCCTCAGAGCCAGCTCCTGTCATGGGATGGTGTCCCATCTAAGGTGCAGACTTCTGTAGGCTGGGCTTGTGCAAGAAAAGAGCAGTATTCCCAGCTCCCAGAATCTCCTGCTGTGCCCGGGCAGGCCTCTGCCTCCCTGACCGGGGCTCTTATCTCTGAATATCTCCTCGCATCCCACCTGTATGCTTCTCTGCAGGTCAGGTGAAGGGAAGGAGATCAGAGGGCTAACGTCAGATGTGGAGACCATGGTCCGTTCATTATTCACCTCCCCTGGCAGGCCTGGAAGCAGAACGGCAGATGCCCAGACAGTGCACAGGAGAAACATGCTTTGTCCCTCTCCACTTGGAACCTCCTTTTGTTTTGTGCCAGGGCTGCCTTAGGTTCAAGGGGCTCTCGAAAAAACTATGTGGCCAGATGCAGGAAGGGCAAGGAAGTAAAGAAGTAAGACTATTCTGAAGACTTTTTTCCAGGTTGATAGGCAAGAGGTAAAGGCCCACTTCAGGTTTCCCTATAGAGTATTGACTAATTTACTAGGATGCAAATGGAGACAGGGGCCCAGGGCCGAAACTTTATGTGATGAAACCATAGTTACTATCGTTATAAAAGCCAATGTGTACTCAGCACGTGGCCCATACTATGTATAGTCACATCTCATTATCTCAGGTAGTTATGTTCTATAAAGTCACTACAAACACACTGAATTAATGAACACTGAATCATTCCTTCTACGGAAAACACAAGGTTGGGTTCCTGAAGCCCCTGGCCACATTTTTGTCAATAAATACACAACCTTGTTTTTATGTGTATTGATATTTACAGACACCTTATTTAATAGTATTGATTCATTAACATTGAACTCATGGCCAACAGCACCGTAACTCTTGCCCGAATGAAGCTTGTCTAACATAGGTATTCGCCCCCTAAGGTATGTCATGGTCTTCTGTGCTGAGGACGCAAGACAGCCCCTCAGCACTGTGCCTGGGGGCCATTTTCAACACTGCATTTTCCAAGTAAAATTTCCTATACCCAAGTGCAGGTTGAGCCAATGAAAACTGCCCTTAGTTCAACCTCATTTATCCTTGGAAAGCAATCTTTCCATGACTGGAGTTGTCAGTTTATTTCATCTTTTTCCATGACCAACTAGTTATTATATTTGAAAATCTTGAAAGCACTTATGTCAGAGGCATGTGAACCAGAGCAACCCCATTTTAAATAGCAGCTGCGTAAAACGAGGCTAAGACCTACTGGGCTGCATTCCCAGAAGGTGACGGCATTTTAAGTCACAGGATAAGATAGGAGGTCGGCACAGGATACAGGTCATAAAGACCTTGCTAATGAAACAGGCTGCAGTAAAGAAACCAGCCAAATCCCAACAAAACCAAGATAACCTCTGGTCATCCTCACTGCTATACTTCCGCTAGCACCATGACAGTTTATAAACACCATGGCAGCAAGAAGTTACCCTATGTGGTCTGAAAAGGGAAGGCATGAGTAATCCACCCCTTCTTTAGCATATCATCAAGAAATAATCATAAAAATGGGCAACCAGCAGCCCTCGGGGCTGCTCTGCCTATGGAGTAGCCATTCTTCTCTTTTTCTTAATAAACTTGCTTCACTTTACAGACGTGCCCTGAATTCTTTCTTACGCAAGATCCAAGAACCTTCTTTAGGAATATGGATCTGGACTCCTTTCCTGTAACACTTACAGATGTACTCTACGCTTTATTCAATAGAAGCACAGAGTTTTATTATTCTATAGATGTCATATAATTACTTCCTAACCTTTTAAAGTTAAGGATATAAGGATAAGACTTCACATGTTAGTATGACTAGGCCACATAGAAATATCTTCTGCCTAAAAGATGCTGAACATGGACTGTTTTATCATAAGAAGTACACGACTTGCTTTCCTGGGGTTCTTGTGGTATTTGTTTTTATCTAACTGAATTTTGATCAAATCTCTACTGAGGCTGTAGGATGGACAATGAAACTTTTTTGGTACTCACCTTTTCAATGGAAAGATTTTAGGGAGAAAATGGAGTGGGTAAAGCAGTTAAACAAAATAACAGACATTCTCATTACCAGCTTACCAAACCTAGAAGCAAACAGAAGAGCAAAAGCTATCAGTAATGACTTTGGAGTGGTATATTCACAAAAATCTCCAAGCTTCTCTGGGGCCCATATGAGACAGGCAGCCCTGATTTTTAATCTCCTTTCTTAGCAGGGTGGAAAACAATAGAGAAAAAGACGCCACTTCTTCATTTGTTAGTGTTTGTTCACGCAGCACAAGTCAGAGAACAGTAAACGCTTGTTCAATGGTCTGCACTGTTTACACAAAACTGGAAAGATGGGTTGGATTAACTATTCCTTTTATAAGTAACATTACACTCTTTCAAACTCTTGGCCGGCCAGTGAACTGCGTGAAGAAATAGCTCTCACAGCCAGGTGCGGTGGTGCACGCCTGTAATCGCAGCACTGTGGAAGGTTGAGGCAGGCGGATTACGAGGTCAGGGGTTCGAAACCAGCCTGACCAACACGGTGAAAACCCGTCTCTACTTAAAAATCCAAAAAAAAATTAGCCGGGCGTGGTGGCGCGCACCTGTAACCCCAGCTACTTGGGAGGCTGAGGCAAGAGAATTACTTGAACCCGGGAGGCGGAGGTTGCGGTGAGCCGAGAGGCCACTGCACTCCAGCCTGGGCGACAAAGCGAGACTCCATCTCCCATTACACTCTTTCAAACGCTTGACAGCTCTCACAAGGGCAAAGGAGTGAGGCAGCCTCCGGAGACGGTCTGAAATACAGCTCCTCTTTCATCCTGGGAGGCGGGTGTTTGCGTCTCCGGATGAGGAGACCCAGCTGGGAGAGCTGGCGACGCCTCCAGGGAACCTTGCGGGTGGCAGGGCGCTGGTCGGAGCACAGCCACCTGCCCCCAGCCGCCCTCCGCTCCCAGACTCCAGCCGAGCGAGGACCCAGACCGGTCCTTGGCTCTGGGAACCTGGGGCGCCGCGGACCTGCCCGGGGGGCCCCTCGTGGGGTCCGGGGCAAGATGGATCTGCAGGGCTCAATGGTCGTGCCCCAGTCGGTCTACACTCACGGCTGTGCGCCCGCTGCGGTCAAGGGGCCCACACCCCCGCTGTGTCCCCGCGCACCTCGCAGACAACGGGACGGGCCACCCCTACCGTCTGCGCCCACTCCGCGGGCTTCACCGACCTCCGACAGGCCTGAGGAGAAGGCTGGCGAGCATGCGCAGACTGCTACGGCGGCCGCCGAGGCCGCGCCGACGCGCCGGAAGTGGGCGGGCCAGACCTTTGGCCGGTCTGTGGGGAGTCGGGTTCGGGGTTTCCTGGAGGGCGCCAGGGGCCGGCGGTGGAGTGGCGGGCGCTACGGCCCGGGAACGAGGCCATGGAGAAGCTGCGGCGGGTCCTGAGCGGCCAGGACGACGAGGAGCAGGGCCTGACCGCGCAGGTAGCGAACCCGCGCCCTGGGGCTGCCCGCCGTCCCGCTCGCAGTGAGGACGCGCGGAGCGGGTGGAGTAGCTGCGAGGCCGTGGGTCTGGGCGTCCTCTGCTGGGCCGGTGGATTTAGGAGGGCTCAGCCTGCTTCCCGGGGAGATTCTGAGAGCTTTCCCGATTTCCATGGGGTCTACTTCAGCCCACTTTGAGACCTACCCTCCGACTTCCCCGTCTGGCCTTCTGACTCCCAGGAAGCCGCTAATGCCTGCCTTCGCTGTCCCGCATCGTCCGTCCTCCCACGCCCTGCTCGGTTGTCGGAGCCTTGTGCGGGGTCTGGCCTCCGGCGGTGCAGCGCAAGTAGCCGTGCAGGGCGTTATCCTGCGAGCTGCAGTGAGCCAGGCCCCTCGCCTGTTGCACCTGTTTGCCTCTGGAGGTAAATGAGGCGCAGTGTGTGTGTGTGTGTGTTTTCTTTTGGAAATACGGAAACTGGAGGAAAAACAACCCGGACGTTGATAAGTGAAAGGTAGCACCTGTTTGCCTCTGGAGGTATATGGGGCGGGGTGTGTGTGTGTGTGTTTTCTTTTGGAAATAGGGAAACTGTAGGAAAAACAGCGCAGTGTGTGTGTGTGTGTGTCTGTGTGTTCTTTTGGAAATAGGGAAACTGGAGGAAAAACAAATCGGACATTGATAAGTGAAAGGTAGCGAGCCCTGGTAAGAGATTTTTTTTCTTAATAAAAGCCCTTGTGTCTGCGCCTTACCCACGAGACTTGATAAGTGTTACTTCCTCCAGCAAGAAGGTTAAAATAGCAGTGGGGCAGGAACTGCGCATGAAGATTTTTGTTATTGCATGCGATTATATTGCATGTTATTGTTGTGTGCTGTCACAGAAGTTGAACATTTAAAAATGAATTGTATTTTATAAGGATCTCCTATTTGTCTCTTCCTGACTTCCTTCCTTGTCATTATACTTATTCAGCACTTCTTGTGGGCAGAGTTCTGGGCTAGCGTTTTGGGTTCAGACAATATAAGACAAGTATGTGTTCTCATTGCACCCTGTAACTCTGTAAATAGTAATACGAGAACCTATAAACAGTAATGTCAGTAAGGCACTATGTGGCTTACCCAACTAAGGTGACGTTTTTTGAGCCACTATTTTGTGTTCCACTTGACGTTCTACATCTGTGCTGTACAATACATATATTACCACAGCCACGTGTGGCCAATTAATTTTTTTTGAGATGGAGTCTTCGCTATGTTGCTCAGGCTGGAGCTCAGTGGTGCGATCTCACTGCAACCTCCGCCTCCCCAGGTTCAAACAATTCTCCTGCCTCAGCCTCCTGAGTAGCTGGGATTGCAGGCACCTGCCACCACTGCCGGCTAATTTTTTTTTTTTTTTGTATTTTTAGTAGAGATGGGGTTTCACCATGTTAGGCTGGTCTTGAACCCTGACCTCAAGTGATCCTCCCATCTTGAACTCCCAAAAAACTAGGATGACAGGCTTGAGCCACCGCGCCTGCCTCAATTAAATTTAAATTAATTAAAATTAAATAAAATGTAAAATTCAGTTCCTTAGTCACAGCAGCCACATTTCCTGTGTTCAGTAGGCACATGTGGTTGAAGCCTACTGTATTGAATAGGGCAGATATAGAACATTTGCACTGCAGAAAGTTCTGTTGGATCGTGCTACTCTAAACTTTGGAGATGCAAATGTGACATCACTTATCTTGAGCTCACTGTCTAGAGGGGTGAAAGACAGGTGGAGAAGTAATCAAAGATTAGGGTAACTGGCTATATATACAAGCACCGTGAGTTCAGAGGACATGATCTCATTATCGAATATTCAAGTTCCTACATATGTTTGGCATAGTTCAAGATGCAGTTGTTAATAACAGTGACCAACACAAAGAAGTCTTTCGCATGGAACTTAAATTTTAATTGGAGGAAACAGTGAACAAACAAGTAAGTATATAATGTGTCAAACAGCCACAGGAAAAGTCAGAGCAGGTTGAGGAGTTTGGGGTTGCCATATTATGTAGATAAGGCCTCCCTGCCACGGTGCCATATGAGCATAGCTCAGAAGAGCTACTGGGATGTCTGGCATCCTGTGAATAAGAGCCTCCAAGGCAGAGAGCACGGCAGATATGGAGTCCCAAGTGGAGTGTGGCCAGCATGTTCAAGGCCAGTAAGGAGGCCAGAGGGCCTGGAGCAGGGGGACAGAGAAGAGGGACGAGTACAAGAGAAAAAGTGAGGCAGGAAGGGGGATTCTCAATTGTGGGGGTTCTCATAGGCCATAGAAAGGATTTTAGCTTTACTCTGAGCATGACAGGAAGCCTTTGGGTTTTGAGCAGACTGGTGGCATTAATTTATCATGTTTCACTTCAAAGATCACCATGTGGAAGATAGTAATGAGAGAAGAATGCCTAATATTATACAATTTAAGCTCTCGCTGCCTTTTCCACTTAGAAGATTATAAGTATATGGGCTGGGAATGGTGGCTCACGCCTGTAATCTGAGCACTTTGGGAGGCCGAGGCAGGCGGATCACAAAGTCAGGAGTTCAAGACCAGCCTGGCCAATATGGTGAAACCCTGCCTCTGCTCATAATACAAAAATTAGCCAGGCGTGGTGGCGTGCACCTGTAGTCCCAGCTACTCAGGAGGCTGAGGCAGGAGAATAGCTTGAACCCGGGACGTTGCGGTGAATTGAGATCACGCCACTGCACTCTAGCTTGGGCGACGGAGCAAGAACCCTCAAAAAAAAAAAAAAAAAAAAAAAAGATTGTAAATATAATACCTACCTTATCTACTTCCCTTCACTATTCCTGTGGTGGGTCTGGGCGAGGTGGTTAGGAGGAGAGTGTAGAGAAAGTCGAGGAAGAAGCTGTCTTTCCAGTGAGAGGAAGCTAAAGTGGCAGAGGAGACCCCCGGAAGGAGCAACTGATGAGGTGGGAGGACAGTCAGGAGAGCTGATAGGAGGTGGGAGTTGAAGAAAACATTGCACGCGGGAGGGAGTGAAGTGTCCTGCGCTGTTGAGTTGGAAAGGACACTGAAGTCTCGAAAATGTCCCTTGGAATTAAGGGCAGGGAAGTGACGGGTTTCAGCCAAGTGAGGGGCAAAGGTAGAATGGTCAAGATGAGCTTCCCAGTCGCTGTGCTGGGTATATGCCAGCTGGGGGTCCCGTCCCCTCCCACAGCCTTAAATAAGGATCCCTGGGAAAGAAGGCACTGGGCTAAGGAGGGAAATACATGAAAAGGCGTGGCTGGCCGAATGGGGCCTTAACTGCACCTCCCCAGGGGCTGCAGTACCTGGGCAGTGCTCCAAGTCTGGTGTGTGCAGAGGGTGTGTTCCCCAGGAGGCCTGCCAGGGAGAGCCAAGAGCCTGTGTAATTGCCTGTGGCCAACCCCGAAATCACTCACAGTTGTTATGTTCTGAATGTTTGTGTCCCCCCAGAATTATTATGTTCAAACTTAATTCCCAAGGTGATGATATGAACAGGAGGGGCTTTGGGGTGTGATCAGGAATGGGATTCATACCCTAATAAAAGAGGCGCCGAACCACATGCAGTGGCTCATACCTGTAATCCCAGCACTTTGGAAGCCTGGGGCAGGAGGACTGCTTGGGCCCAGGAGTTCAAGACTAGCCTGGGCAACATGGCAAGACCCCATCTCTACAAAAAATTTAAAAAAATTGGTTCAGCATGATGGTGTGTACCTGTGGTCCCAGCTGTGTGGGAGGCTGTGGTGGGAGGATTGCTTGAACCTGGGAAGTTGAGGGAAAAAAGGACCTATTGCCCTTTCCACCATGTGAGGACTCAGAAGGCATCATCTATGAACCAGAGAGGAGTCCTCATCAGACGCCGAATCTGCTGGTGCTTTGACCATGAACTTCCAGTCTCTAGGACTGTGAGAAATAAGTGTCTGTTGTTTATAAGCTACCCAGTTCACAGTATTTTTTTAAGAGAATTAAATCGTTTATTGGCTACGATTATGGATGATGCACAAGCTTCATTCCCATCTAAAATGCTATCTGGTATCATTATTCAGTTTAGATATTTTGCACGGGGTGTGCCAACATCATTTTTATAACCAATAATTCTATGATTTTGCTTGGGCGATCACCTTTCGTGTTGAACTGCAGGTCACAACAGTAACTGTCAGTTCAGCTACACCAGGCTTACTGAAGAGAGTGGCTCTCCACCCAAGCAGATTGTAAATAAGTTCCAGGTAAAACCTGGCATTACCCTGAGGGATTCTGACTTCACACCGGTGGGGGAATTTACCAAGATGGCTTCAGAGGAGACTAACTTTACATAGCACATTTTTAAAAAAGACACATTTATTCAGCGTTATGATCAGACTATTAACATTTAGCAATCAACAGCATGGATCCAAGAAAAAAAAAAAAAAAAAAAACTACATTAAAACCCTTTGTTGGAATGCTTGATACTTTCTGCAGAACGGAAACTAACCTGTTAATAAAATTAGTCACAAATACAGTCCTGGAGTTTTTTGCTCATACACATGAGTGTTGCCTGAAACATGTCTTCTTTGTAGCAGCTGGGCTCTGCCACCACTGTGCTTGGCTGGCTGAGTTCACAAATGCCTTGTAACCTGTAGCTTCCCTGTTACTTCTCCGGCCCTCCTCTCCTGCTAAGCTTTGTTTCCTGGCAGTGATTAAAGTCTTCTGACAGTGCCATGGCTACTGCTGCTACTGGAACCGCCATAGCCACCTTCTTTTTTGGAACCCATTTATGCCCAGTGTTCCATTATTGGAATGCTAAGCATGTGGGAGTTATTTATATTCTACTTTCTCAAGGTCATCGTCAAGGTCTGATTTTTCAAATTCAAAGAAAAATTGCAACCTCAGGCTTAAAGGGGTTAAAATCTTCTGCCAGTGCCAAGGTAGCTATTGCTGCTACTAGAACCACCATAGCACCTTGGTTTTGTAGTTTGGCAAAGTATTGGCCTCCACCACAGTAGGGGCCAGAGCTTCTGCCTCCAAAGTTTCCTCTCTCTATGGGTCCAAAATTAGAAGGCTAATTGTTGTAATTGCCAAAATCATTGGTGCTTCCACCACCTCCAGAATTGATTCCATCATTACCAAATCCATGACAGCCATCCCCTGTGCCACTCTATCCACTGCGACAACTGTGGACAGCAGCCACCAAAGCCACCATGACCACTGAAGTTTCCTCCATAACCAAAGTCGTCATTCCCACCAAAACCACCTCCACAACCACCACAAAAGTTTCCAGAACTTTTGACCTCTGGCTGGATGAAGCACTCACCGTTTTCTGGCTTTCACAGGACTTCCCTAATTGCACAGTTGTGATCATTCACAGTATGGCATTTCTGAGTGACAGTCTTGTCCACAGGGTCATGGTTGTCAAAGGCTACAGAGGCATAGCCTCTTTTGTTGCCACTGCCTCTGTCAGTCATTATTTCAGTCACTTCAGTTTTTCCATACTGTTGAGGATCTCTTAGGTGATGTTCTTTAGTGTCTTCTTTCATGCCACCAACACATATCTTTTTCACATTTAGGTGGGCACCTGGTCTTTGAGAATCTTCTTAGACAGCTCTTTGGTTCCACAGCTCTTCCGTCTACCTTGTGTGGCCTTGCATTAATGGCTGCATCCACCTCCTCCACAGTGGCATAGTGAAAGCCCCTGGAGTGCTTGGTGTTTGGATATCAATTGCTCAAAATGGCTTCTCAGGTTCTCATCAGTTGTTTCAAAGCTCAACCCTCTGGTGATGAGCCTCCACAGCACTTCAGGCTCCTTGAGTGACT